CTCCCTCACCCCCATCCCAGGCCCCAAGAAGACTTTCCACATCAAGCAGATGTTCACCTGCACATCTGCCAATGTGGTATACTGCATCCGCTGTACCTGGTGTGGCTTCCTCTACATCAGGGAAACCAAGCGGAGGCTCGGGGACCGCTTTGCAGAACACCTACGCTCGGTTCGCAATAAACAACTGCACCTCCCAGTCGCGAACCATTTCAACTCCCCCTCCCATTCCTCAGACGACATGTCCATCCTGGGCCTCCTGCAGTGCCACAACGATGCCACCCGAAGGTTGCAGGAACAGCAACTCATATTCCGCTTGGGAACCCTGCAGCCCAATGGTATCAATGTGGGTTTCACAAGTTTCAAAATCTTCCCTCCCCCTACCGCATCCCAAAACCAGTCCAGCTCGTCCATGCCTCCCTAACCTGTTTTTCCTCCCACCTATCCCCTCCTCCCACCTCAAGCCGCACCTCCATCTCCTACCGACCAACCTCATCCCGCCCCCTTGACCTGTGTGTCCTCCCTGGACTGACCTATCCCCTTCCTAACTCCCCACCTACACTCACCTTTTACTGGCTCCATCCCCACCTCTTTGACCTGTTTGTTTCCTCTCCACCTATCCTCTCCTCTATCCATCTTCTATCCGCCTCCCACTCTCTCCCTATTTATTTCAGAACCCCCTTCCCCTCCCCCTTTTCTGATGAAGGGTCTAGGCCCGAAAGGTCAATAAAAAGAGCCTCTCTGCTCCTATGATGCTACTTGGCCTGCTGTGTTCATCCAGCCCTGCACCTTGTTGTCTCGGATTCTCCAGCATCTGCAGTTCCTACTATCTCTAAACATATCATTGTAGGGTAGATAGAGAAGTTGTAACTAAATTTTTTTTGTTTCACCAAAATAACAGGGGATGCAGTTTTGTAGAGAGACTTGAAGCTTTTTTTTTTAGGTAGAAGCGAGCCGATTCAATTTTGACTGATCTTCAGGATTACAAAAGTTTAGTTATTATTGACTGACTGCTTGTTGCTGAGGTAGTTGCAACTTAATTTATGGATAAAAGAAAATACACCTACACATTCAAGGTGAGCCTGTCTTTGTTGTTGAAGCAGCAAATATGAATTATTCTGAAATGAAATTTATAGTTGAAAATGACTATCAAAAGATAGTGAAAGCAAGAAGGGAAGAGTGTTTTACACCAGGTTGTTTGAGAAAATGTCAAAAGTTTAGTTTCCATAATAGGATGTTCTATGCGCAAAGGTTATACATATAAAATATTCTGTTATTTGCAAATTTTCTGTGACCAATTTTATCTGCTGATTTTCTTCTCTCTGACTCCTTGAAGAGGTTATATGATAATGCCTTCCAGTACTGCAGCATTATTTGTGGGTGAGCTCTGAGTGTTGACAGTCTTTTGGATGCAAAAGCTGGCACAATGTCATTAAACAACCTTATGCTGTTTAAGGTAGTGAGTTAACATTCTTCCCTCTGACCATATGAGAGGGAAAGTTTGAATAGAAAAATTACATGGTGCGGAGGGCTTTCAAATGTCTTGTATGTGATTTAATATGTTTTGATCTAAAGTGGGAAGAAGACGCATCAGGACATTTTCAATAGCAGTCCAGGGCTGTTTTGTCTCTGGTTCCAAATGGAAAGGAATTAGAAGTGATTTTTAAAAAAAATAGAAACTTTCAAGACGTCAAAAAAAACTTCTATCATGTTTCAAATGATTCAACATTCAAGTATTTACATTTTTCTTACAGGATGAAGAAGAAGAAATTAAACTGGAGATCAACATGTTGAAAAAATATTCTCACCACAGAAATATAGCAACCTACTATGGTGCTTTTATAAAGAAAAGTCCTCCTGGACATGATGATCAACTCTGGGTGAGAAGAACAAATATTGTGCTTTGCTGTATCTTTTGGAAATATCTCATTGACGTTCACAGTAAATGATTTGCTTTAAAGAAGAAATTACTGAAAATTGAAAGTTTTTTGATCTAAAAGTATAAAATTGTCCAATAATTTCAATTAACAGTTAACAAAAATTCAGTAATGAAGTGAATGGGTTTATGAAGGAAATTCAAATGCTGAACCTCGAGTGGTGATCTCACTATTGCTCCCAATGCCAGGCGCTCGTGAGCACAAGAATGTAAGGATCAATCAATTGAAATGTTACTGGAGAACTGGTGTAGGGGGGAGGGCATTATGTTTCTGAGTCATTCAGCAGGTGAGACCTGTGTAAACTGGATGGATTACATCTTAACAGGACTGAGATGGATATCCTCCCAGGGAGACTTGTAAGTGCATTTGGGCTGGATTTAAACAAGCTTCTCAGGGATCGGAATCTGAGGGCTAATCTGCGTTAAGCAAAATAACGATGGTTCCAGGAAATCGAAAAGCTGAGAGTGAAACCAGAAAACGGCAGAAACGAAGTCAAACGTGAGAAATTCTTCAATAATGTAATCATTTTCAAAAAGACTAAGTTAAGGGCACTCTACCTGAATGCACGCAGTATTTGCAACAGGATTGATGATCCAAAAACACAAATTAGTGGTTATGATGTAATTCCCATTGCAGAAACGTGGCTACACGGTGACCAGGACTATGAACTAAACATTTAAGAATGTTCAGTGCTTAGGAAGGGCAGACAGGAAAGTAAAGGGGATGGTGTTCCACTCATAATAAAGGATGGGATCAATATATTAGCAAGGGCTGATTTCAGAACAGAAGAGCAACGTGTGCATTCTGTTTGGGTAGAACCAGGAAACAGCAAGGGACAGCAGACATTGGTAGGAGTTATTTATAGGCCACCAAATAGTAGGGGTAGTGTGGGGATTGGTATAAATCTGGAAATGAGAGAAGCTTGTAGTATGTGCCACATGGTAATTATGGGTGACTTGAATCTGCATAGCAACTGGGTAAACCAATTAAGCACTAAACCTGTGGAGAATGAGTTTCTAGAGTGTGTCAGGGATGGTTTTCCACCCTGGTACGTTGAAGTACTGACTAGAAGACAGGTGATATTGGATCTAGTATATGTAAAAGGGCTAATTAATAATCTTGTAAAAGAAGCTTTAGGGATGAGTGACTACAATATGATAAAATTTTGCGTAATGTTTGAAAGTGAGGTGGTTCAATCTGAAGCAAGGATGTGAAATTTGAATATGGAAAGTTATGAAAGCATTACCAAATTTGGCTGAGCTAGGTTAGAAAATGTATTAAAAGGCATGACTGTACATAGAAAATAGACAGTCTTTAAAGAAAACAAACCATGACTTAGAACAACTTTAAGGTGCAAAAACTCAAAAAAAAAAAGGCAGCCAACAATGGGAGTTGACCATTATGTAAGATGAAAAGAAAAGGCTTAAAAAGGCTAGATATGGCAACAAATCTGAGAACTGGGAAGGATGCTGTGACAAACTTTTGGCATTTACGAAGAAGGATGTGAGCATTTATGGTATTTATTTCCAAGAGGGATTGTATATATTGTCTTCCCCTACCATGGACTTCTGTTTTGTCTAAAATTATTTATACAAGTTGCAATTGGCTTTTGATTTTTGTATAACTGGACAGTAATAAGTCGTCAGTCATAGAGTTGTACAGCATGGAAACAGACCCTTCTGTCCAACTTGTCCGTGCTGATGAGATGCCCTACATTAATCTAGTCCCATTTGCCAGCATTTGGACCCTGTTCCTCTAAACCCTTCCTATTCATGTACCCGTTCAGATATCTTTAATTTGTTGTTATTGTACCTCCCTCCACCACTTCCTCTGGCAGCTTAATCCATACATACACCACCCTCTGTGTGAAAACATTGACCCTTCGGCCCCCTTTTTAAATCTTTCCTCTCTCACCTTAAACCCATGCTCTGTAGTTTTGGACACCTCTTCCCTGGGAAAATGATCCTGTCTATTCACCCTATCCATGCTCCTCATGATTTTATAAAACCTCCATAATTACCCCCTAAGCCTGCGAGGCTCCAGGGAAATCATTTCTGAACCCTTTCAAGTTTAATAACATTTTCCTATAGCAGGAAGACCAGAATTGAATGTAGTATTCCAAAAGTGGCCTCAACATGACATCCAAACTCCTATACTCAATACACTGACCAAAGAAGGTACGCTTACCAAATGGTTCCTTCACTATTCTGTCTACCTGTGACTCCACATTCAAGGAACTATGAACCTGTGCCCCAAGGACTTTTTGTACAGCAACACTCGCCAGGAACCTACCATTAAATGTAAATGTCCCATCCTGATTTGCCTTACTAAAATACAGCACCTCACATTTATATTCTTTGTCACTTCTTCAAAAACTCAAATCAAGTTATTAAGTGTTGCATCTAAAGGACTGAATTTAAGATCTTCCAGACTTGAAGTAAATCAACATTTGGCAAATGTTTCTTGTATCTCACCATTAATACCTTGAATCATATGTAACCACAATTTAATTAGGATACTTAACAAATGGTCCTCCTGCCTAGCCCATTGTTGAAGAAGATGTTAGAATAAATCCTTAAACAAATCTGCCAACAAGGCACTATAATCCAGGAAAAAGCTCACCACAACTCATCCTGGAATGTCTGGAGCACAAAGATTAAGGCTGCCAATGTGCAAATCGACAAGTTGTTGGTGAAGCTTTCAGTAGGATGGGGGTAACAGTGGATGGCTTTAATTCCCTTCATTTCTTCAGACATAACTCTATAGAGTCATAGAGTAATACAGCATGGAAATAGGCCCTTCAGCCCAAACTGTCCAAGCTGACCATGGTGCCCACTCAGCTAGTTCCAACTGCCCGCATTTGGTCCATATCCCTCTAAACACTTCCCATCCATGTACCTATCCAAAAGTTTTTTAAATGTTGCTATTGTACCTGGCTCAACCACTTTCTCTGGCAGCCCATTCCATATACACACCACTCTCTGCATGAAGTAGTTGCCCCTCAGGTCCTCCTCAAATCTTTCCCCTCTCACCTTAAAGCTATGCCCTCTACTTTTCAATTCCCCATTCCTTGAAAAAAGACTATATGCATTCATCCTATCTATGGCTGTCATGATTTTATACACCTCAATAAGGTTACCCCTCATTCTCTTACATTTCAAGGAATAAAGTCCTATCCTGTCCAACCTCTCCCTATAACTCAGGCACACTAGTCCTGGCAACATCTTTGTAAATCATCTTTGTACACTTTCCAGTTTAATTATGTCTTTCCTACAACAGGGTAACCAAAGCTGTACACAATATTCCAAGTACGGCCTTGTCAATGACTTATACAACTGTAATGTAATGTCCCAACTCCTATACTCAATGCTGTGACCAATGAAGGCCTGCATGCTAAATGCCTTCTTCACTACCCTGTCCACCTGTGACACCGCTTTCAACGAGCTACGTGCTTGTACTCCTAGGTCCCTCTGTTCGACAACACTCCTCAGGACCTTATCATTTACCGTATAAGTCCTACCTTGCACTTTGGAAAGTCAAACCAACACCTCACGCTTATCTGTATTGAATTGCATTTGCCAGTTCTCAGCTTACTTCCCTATCTGATGAAGATCCCTCTGTAATTTTTGATAACCTTTTTCACTATCAACGATACCTCCTAATTTTGTATCATCTGCAAACTTACTAATCATGCCTTGTACATTCACATCCAGATCATTTATGTAAATCACAAATAACAAACGTCCCAGCATCAGCCCCTGTGGCACACCAGTAGTCACAGGCCTCCAGTCTGAGAAACAACCTTCAACCATCACCCTCTGCTTCCTACCATTGAGCCAATTTGGAATCCAATTAATTAGCTCTCCCTGGATCCTATGTGGCCTAACTTTCATGACTAGCCAGCCGTGCGGGACCTTGTCAAAGGCCTCACTAAAGTCCATATAGACAGCATCCGCTGCCATAACCTCACCCATCCTCTTGGTTACCTCTTCGAAAAACTCTAAAAGACTTGTCAGACATCACTTCCTGCGCACAAATCCATGCTGACTATTTCTGATCAGACCTTGATTATCCAAATGTTGGTTGATCCTGCCCCTCAATATCCTCTCCAATAACTTGCCTACCACTGACATCAGGCTCACTGGCCTGTAGTTCCCTGGCTTGTCTTTAAACAGTGGAACAACATTAGCCACCTTCCAGTCTTCCAGAACTTCACCAGTGGCTAAAGATGAAGTAAAAATCTCTGCTGTAAGGGCCTCTGCAATTTCTTCCCTAGCCTCCCACAGTGTCCGAGGATGGACTTGATCAGGCCCAGGATAGTTTTCCACCTTAATGCGCTTTAAGGCTGCAAACACCTCCTCTCTGGTAATCTCTGTTCCAATCCTGCTACTGAAATACAAAGAAAAGAACAAAGAATGGTACAGCACAGGAACAGGCCTTTTGGCCCACCAAGCCTGTGCTGACACATGATGCCTTTCTAAACTAAAATCCATTTGCTTCTGAGGTCTGCATCCCTCTATTCCCTGCCTATTCAGGTATCTATCAAGACGTCTATTAAACGTTGCTGTTGTATCTGCTTCTACCAGCCCCTCTGGCAGGCATTCTAGGCACTTACCACCCTCATTGTTAAAAAAAAAAACTTGTGTCTTCCTTACACTTACCCCTTTTACCTGAAGCCTCTGTTCTCTAATAATTGACATTTCTATTCTGGGGAAAAGCCTCTGACTATCCAGTCTCTCCATGCCTCTCATAATTTTGTAAACTTTTACCAGGTCACCCCTCAACCTCTGACATTCAAGTGAAAGCAAACCAAGTTTGTTCAACCTATCCTCGTAGCTAATACCCTCCAAACCACTCAATATCCTAGTAAACCATTTCTGTACCTTCTCCAAAGCCTCCACATCCTTCTCGTAGTGTGGCGACCAGAATTGTACATAATACTG